CCATTAATAGTTGATTGGAATTTGGATTTGGACAACAACATATGAAATTATTAATTATACGTATGGAAAATTTTCCAGAACCCTCTGTTCTTCTAATATTGTTCTTGTTCCCTTATCCGTATATACCCACTTTTCACCCATTGGTCTAAAAATAGTTGCCTTTACCCATAATTAAAAAATATATATATATTTTCACTAGAAATAGATTTTAGAGAAAGAAAATTTAAACAATATTATGAGTTTCTATTTTCAAAGGGTATATAAATATTTAAATGTAGCATACAGAATTTTCTGTGAGTTAAAAAGTATAATAATATTGGTTATATAACTAATTCTATTTATTGTACTAACAAAATCTTATTATATTTATCTATCCTATCTTTGAAGTCTAATTATGGTTTAGCAATTGTTTTTAATATTTATATTTTTATAAATATGATGATACAGTCATCAACATTGATTGTTCAAATAAATAATAAGTACAACTTTAACCAATTTCTTATTATTATTGTTTAGACATGAACAACAGGCAATGGATACGTCACACCATATAAATTTTGTTAGTTGGGCTTTCTTATCAGATATTGATAACAAAATGCTGGTGTAAACCTAGTGCCACCCCCAATAAAACTACATTATTTCTAAAATTCTGCAAAAGTAAATCAATCGAAGTGACTTTAATGGTTACCTCAAAAGACACCATCAGAGAAATAAGTATTGAATTAGCAGCAAAAGATTAATAAACTTTGAAAGGTTAGTGAAAAATAAACATAGAATCAAATATTGGAAGAAAACCCAATAGACTCCTTTATTATCCTTATAAATTTATGTTAAAATTTACCTCACCAGTGAGAATGAACTCCACAAATCCCAAAGTCTAATTACGTGTTCCTTTTTCTGTATTGATAATAAATTAATGCACATGATCAAATGTGGAGGACTAGGGAGGGAGTAGCCAAGAAAACTAGTCCCTGACACCGTGTGGCTTTTGTCACTTACAAATAGAAAATGGGAAGGGGTAGAATCGTACTTTTGAGAAATATATCACCATCAGCAATCAATACTGTGGTCAATTGTCAACGGTAGTCGATATCAACGGTTGTGATTGACTCTTCCGAAGTCCGCTATCTTCCTCGACCGGTTCGCGCAGAGGTGAGGCTTCGGCGAAGCCCTGAGGTTGCCGGAGAAAGTAATATCCGGCGGAGTTACCTTCTGGTTCAAATTCCAGTTCGGACTTGCTCGTACGAGCGGACTCAAGCAAAATGCGAATCCTGAGGCGTTTTGCTTGTGTCCGAATCTCCCGCGCTTCGCCGATCCAGGAGCCGCCATTGGAGACTTTTGAGAAATCGGAGAACGATCCGGGCCTTCGTGTTCTTCATCGGAGTCCGATAGTCCCGCCGGTGACATTCCGCGCTCTATCACCGGACAATGCCTCCGTTCGGCAGCCGCGACCGGTTCCTCGGCCGTGGAAAGGCTCGATTGATTACTCCGGCGACCGGCGAAGATCGTCGAGAACCACGACGGCGTTGAAGAATACGAAGCCGGACCGCGAGATTCTCGAGAAGGAATTTTATGATTCTTCTCGAATTTCTCGGATCTAGACCTGAACATTTTGGACCAGA